GTGCATGTCCTGGCTTGGCTAATCCACTCACCTCCCTAATGTTTTAGCTATACTGCATTTAAAAAAAAAAAACAGTTGTCGTAGAGACAATCTCAACTCATGGCGACCCCGTTTGTGGCAGAGTAGAACTGGGCTCAGCAGGGTTTTCGATGGCTGATTTTTTGGAAGTAGATCTCCAAGACTTTCTTTCAAGGTGTTTCTGAGTGAACTAGAACCGCCAGCCTTTCAGTTAGCAGCCAAGTGCGTTACCCGTTTACACCACCCAGGGACTCCTATATGACATTTCTGTTGTTGTTAGCTGTCAAAGAGTTGGCCCCTGATGCATCGCTACCCCGCGCACAACAGAACAAAAAGCTTCCCGGTCTTGTACTATCCCCACGATCGATTTCAGATTAGACCATTGGGATCCACAGGGTTTTCATTGGCTGAGTTTTTTTTTTGGAAGTAGATTGCCAGGTTTTTCTCCCCAGTCCATCTTAGACTGGAAGCTCCTCCGAAACTTGTTCAGCATCATAGCAACACACAAGCCTCCACTGACAGATGACGGATGACTGCGTATGAGGTGCATTGGCCGGGAATCAAACCCCAGTCTTCTGCGTGGAAGGCGAGAATTCTACCACCGAACCACTGCTGTCCCCTGTATTATATTATCATTGTCACCAACTGATTCCAACTTACAGTGACCCTATAGGACACAGGAGAACTGTCCCATAGGGTTTCCAAGGCTGTAAATCTTTACGAAAGCAGACTGTCACATCTTTCTCCTGCAGAGCAGCTGGTGGGTTCGAACCACCAACCTTTTGGTTAGTAGCTGAGCGCTTAACACCTGCATCACCAGGGATCTGTATGTTACATTATGCAACCCTGATATGCTGATCCTTACAAGATGTAGTGCCCTTCACCAGATAAAGGTAGTTCTTACGAACTGATACTAATAAGAGCCTGTGGCTTGATCTGGGCCTTAAACTCAAAATGTATACACACACATACTCTACATACATGAATTTAAGGTATTTTATTTTTTCCATGTAAAATCCATTTAAGTAATGAATCCTTTATGGTAGCATTTTAGGCAGAGTAAGAGGATTTTTTTATAGCAGGTGATCATTCTCAACTCCCTTGAAGCGCACTTTATCCCTAAGGTCTATTTTCTTCTCTGTTCAGTCTAGCCCAAACACAGGGCCTGGTGAGAAGATTGGTATCTTTTTGGACTAGGTTATGTTTAAGAGATTTCATGTATGTCGCCTTATCTAAGAATTTTTTACACATCTTCTGATTTAACATAATTCTATGTACATTCTTCCAAATACTTTTCCCTTTTATTTTTTAATCATTGTGTTGAGGTAAATTTGATCCACACTTTTGCTTTCATTTGTAAGTAACACATCAAGTATTTGACCTATTAAATGCTTAGTGAGATGTCACATGAGCTTTTCAATAAAAAGGGAGTTTCAAGGGCTAAAATTCGGGAAGTTTATCTGCCAGATTTAAACATATTATGATCTCAAAAACTTCAAGATTGTTTCAAAATATGAAATTAATAAATACAAGATGGAGTTATAATTCAAAAAAGCGTATTCCTCTTTCTTTAATTCTTTTTCTCTTACCATTATTTTATGGAAATCAATCAAAGTGTTACAGAGCAAAATAGACCTTTTGCTTTTAAAGTTTTTTTCTTCTGTGGTTTTGTTTGTTTGTTTACTTTGTAATTTGGAACAGTTTAAACCAGCATTTCTTAGCATATGTTCCATGGAACACGAGTCCCTCAAAAGGTATCTGTTATGGATTGAATTGTGTCTCCCAAAAATGAGTGTTGTAAACCCTAACCCCTGTACCTATGATCTCATTTGGGAATGGGTTTTCTTTGTTAGGTTAAGAAGTCATATCTGCATAGGGTATGTTTTAAGCCAATCACCTCTGAGATATAAAAAAAGCTGATTAGGAAAAGTGAACAAGCAGAAATGGGGGAAGATAGATGCCAAGCCACATGGAGATCACCAAGCAACTTCCCTTAGAGCCAACAGAGGGAGAAGCCTTCCCTAGGGCCAGAGCTTTTAATTCAGACTTCTAGCCTCCTAAACTGTGAGAAAATAAGTTTTTGTTGGTTAAAGCCACCTAGTAGTGGTATTTCTGTTATAGCAACACTAGGTAACCAAGACAGTACCTCATCAGAAAAAAAGCTCTCTTGTCAAATGAATATGGAAATGACTTGATAGCATATCCTCCCTGGGATATTTACAATGTGTGTGACCATATGGAAGCTCTGAAAGATTGGAAGGTAGTGAAAGAACATATTTAACTTTATCTAAGCCAGCACTGGAGCCTTGGTAGCACAGTGGTTAAGAGGTATGGCTGCTAATCAAAAGGTCAGTCGTTTGTTCCTGGAAACCCTGTGGGGCAGTTCTGCTCCATCCTATAGGGTCGCTAAGAGTTGGAATTGACTGATGGCAGCAGGTTTGATGTTTTGTTTTGTTTTTTAACCCAGCATTCCTGCTCTGCAAGTATATCTATTAAATCCATGGATTGCACTTTGGGAAAGATTGATTAAGTTTTATATAATGACTTAACCTTTGAATATTTCTTCTCTTCCGGGAATGGAAACACTGTACTGTAGTAGTTAAATATATGGATTTTAGACTCAGACAACCTGGGTTCAAATCCTAATTCTGCTGTTTTACAGTTGTATGACTTTGAGTGAATGACTTAAACTCTCTAAAACTCAGTTTCTGCATCTCTAAAATGGATCTCATAATGGTACCAATCTCAAAGGTTTGTTCAGAAAACTTAAATGCTAACTTCTATAAAGTACTTAGCACAGTGCCTGGCATATAGAAAGCTTTCAAAATTTTTATAATTACCATATCTGAGTCTAAAGAAATCAAACTCACTTGGAGACAACCTGCAGACAAGTAGAGAATCTTTGTTTTCATTCTCCCCTTTCAATTCTTTTCCTTTCTCTCTCCCTCTTTTCTCTTCTCATGCTTTCTTGCTCCACTACTGCTGTCATGGATTGAACTGTGTCCCCCCAAAAATGTGTGTAGCACCTTGGCTAGGTCATGATTCCCAGTATCGTATGATTGTGTTACCTGATGTGATTTCCTTATGTGTTGTAAACTCTACCACTATGATGAGATTATATGTGATCTCCTCATGTGTTGTAAATTCTATCACTGTGATGAGCTTATACTGATGAGGTTGACAAGATCAGTGTCTTAATGCAATCTCTTTTGAGATATAAAAGAGAGAAGCGACCAGACACATGGGAACCTCTTACGACCAAGAAAGCAGTGCTGGGAGCAGAGCGCGTCCTTTGGACCTGAGGTTCCTGCGCAGAGAAACTCCCAGACCAAAGGAAGACTGATGACACAGACCGTCCTCCAGAGCCAACGGAGAAAGCATTCCCCCGGAGCTGATGCCCTGAATTTGGACTTGTAGCCTACTGGACTGTGAGAATAAATTTCTCTTTGTAAAGCCATCCACTTGTGGTATTTCTGTTGGAGCAGCGCTAGATGACTGAGACAACTGCTTTGGCTAATTTCAATAATATTTGTTGAATCTGCAAGTCAGAAGTGGCAGCACCATGGATAAATCTGTAGACTTTTGCAATATGAAAGATACATTAAGTAATTAAGTATATATAAATATTTTTCCTGACCACAGTTCTCTAAGCAGACATGAGAGATTGAGAGGTGTGTATGTGTGTATATGTATATAATATTAAAAGCATAAACTCTCACTGAACTCAAAAATTCATCACACTCTGGATGTGGACCTTGCATCAGGCATGGGAGCTACACCTGAGTTGTGACTTGCCTTGAAACTGCTTTGACCTTTGCCCACTCGATTCTGAACAGCTGAGGGTTGAGAAAGCTAGTGTCAGAGTTCAGAAATATGACTCTGGGACAAGCCCACTGAATATTCCTTTTCTATGCAATTTTAAACATCTTCTGGAGCAAATAAAACCTTTTGATCAATTCTCTTCCTGTTGATTGTCAGAGAGACTTCTGGATTAAAGGCAATGTTTAAATATCCCTCTATTACTGTGTGGTACACTAATAAGCTGAGTAGCAATGACAGTTGAAGAAAATATTTGGAGGGGTGATGCTCATACAGATGTTTTATCTTAATATCACCAGCAATAAAACAATCCTGTTCATTGCTTAAGTATTTTTTCTGTTTATAAAAATTATAAAGTTCAAAGTATAGGAAATTATAAAAAAGGAAAATCAAAAGAACCTATAAATAATTTCCTTACCTGTGTATCAAATTAATTGACTTATGGTTACCTGGCTATGCTTTACTAGCCCCCAATTCAACAAATATTTACTGCGTGTCTAAGTGGTCCTCAAATTTATGCATGACTCTTAGCACCCACCTCCAGGATATGACTTAAACAGAGGGTGGAATCTGAATGTTTACATAATATGAGGAAAAAGAATGAGAACACTTGGCTTCTTTGGCAAGCTACCTGGTAAAACAGCTGAAATTCAAGAAGCCCTTTAGTTAAGAGTCTAATTGCAAGCACAGCAGGAAGAATTCACAGACCTAGTAGCAAAGGTTGCGTTTTTTCTAGCGTAAGCACACCTCTTTCCCAAACGCTCTCTCCCTAAAAGCTGCTGACAGAGCTTTGGCAAGGGATCATCCTCCCGTTGGCTGATAACTAAGTCCTGTTTTATATTTAACTCACTCCAGTGCAGGAGGAGTAAGGGTGGGGATGCGCTGTTTATAAGGGGAACTGTAACAATATTCTCGTCAGTCCTCTTCCTCCAGCTCAGCTCCGTGGGATCCCTTTCCCACCCCACTTGTTTTCGCATTCATCCTTGAGTGGGTGGTGGGAACGGGAAGGGAGAGCAACAGACGCCAGAAACCCGAGAGAAGTGCGGGAAAAGCAAAAACAGACTGCCAGACCGGGGAATTCCTTCCAATTTAAGAAGGAAGTCAGCTGGCCGTTGGTTAAATTTAACACACTTTAAGTGTAAAATTTGACTTGGGAAACAAAAATGAACTTTGCGGAGAAAGAAGACTCTAAGAGATACTGCATCCAAACCAAACACGTGGCTATTATCTGTGCGGTGGTGGTGGGAGTAGGATTAATAGTGGGGCTCTCCGTGGGCTTGACCAGATCCTCTGACTACAGCAAAGACAACGGGCAGGGCGCGACTCCGACTTCAGATCTTCCTCCACAGGACCAAGAGGTCTGCCCTGCCAGCGAAGACGAAAGTGGACCGTGGAAGGATTTCAGGTTGCCGGACTACATCAACCCCGTGCACTACGATCTGGAGATGAAGCCCCTGTTGGAGGAGGACAGGTACACTGGTAGCGTGACCATCTACATCAACGTGAGCGCTGACACCCCGTACCTGTGGCTGCACCTCCGGGAAACGAAAATCACCCAGCTCCCGGTGCTGAAGAAGCCCTCCGGGGAGCAGGTGCAAGTCAGGAGGTGTTTCGAGTACACAAAGCAGGAGTATGTAGTGGTGGAGGCAGAAGAACCGCTTCCACCCAGCAGTGGCGATGGTACCTACCTCTTGACCATGGAGTTCGCGGGCTGGCTGAACGGCTCCCTCGTGGGGTTTTACAAAACCACGTACACGGAGAATGGACAAATCAAGTAAATATTAATTTTGGCTTTGCTTCGCCTAAACTCATTTATATCTGCTCTCCATTTCTTTCCCTTTCCTTTTCACTCCCCAACTTTTAATCAGTTTGTTGGCCTGTTCTTTATCTACACTTGGTTTCAATTCTCCTATTCATCTGGGAAGCAAAAAATTCTTGCCCTATTGTATTTTCAAACCAGCCATAGGGTTTGAAAGTAGTGAGTAATCTGCATGAAGTCACAAACTCCTGTAAGTCTTTTATTCCAACTGGTGAAATAATAATTTACTGCATCGTATTCTTATTATTTACATAAACTGCTTATTATTTACATAAACTGCAGATTTTAAAAATACATACATGTGTGATCAATTTCACTAGTGATATTCTTGGGCTATATGGCAAGGATTTGAAACTGAACTTTTAAATGATATTGCTCTAAATTTAAGTGAAAAGTTGATAAATGTCAATTATTATTTTGTCTGTTTTGTTGCAAAAGAGAGACATTGAATGATTACATGAAATCAAAGGAATTTTCTTTCTTCCATCTTCATCTAGGAAGGAAAGCCAGTACCCTGCTTTACTCATAGGTTTTCAATAATACTTGTTGAATCCACAAGTCAGGAGTGGCAGCACCATGGATAAATCTCTAGACTTTTGCAATATGAAAGATACATTAAGTAATTAAGTACATACAAATATTTTTCCTGACCACAGTCCTCTAAGCAGACATGAGAGATTGAGAGGTGTGTGTGTATATATATATATAATACTAAAAGCATAAACTCTCATTGAACTCAAAAATTCATCACACTCTGGATGTGGACCTTGCATCAGGGATGAGAGCTACACCTGAGGTGTGACCTGCCTTGAAACTGCTTCAGCCTTGGCCCACTCGATTCTGAACAGCCGATGGTTGAGAAAGCTAGTGTCAGAGTTCAGAAATATGAGTCTGGGACAAGCCCACTGAATATTCCTTTTCTATGCAGTTTTAAACATCTTCTGGAGCAAATAAAACCTTTTGATCAATTCTCTTCCTGTTGATTGTCAGAGAGAATTTTGGATTAAAAGAAATGTTTAAATATTCCTCTATTACTGTGTAGTACACTAATAAGCTGAGTAGCAGTGATAGTCGATGAAAATATTTGGGGGGTAGTGCTCATACAGATGCTTTATCTTAATATCACTAGCAATTAAACAATCCTCTTTATTGCTTAAGTATTTTTTCTGTTTATAAAAATTATAAATGTTCAAAGTACAGGAAATTATAAAAAAGGAAAATCAAAAGAACCTATAGATATTTCACCACCCGGTGGTAACCACTGTTAATACGTTAATGTATATTCTAATATTTTTCAAGGCAATCAGTTTGTAACTGTATTATATCTATACAGCTACATATATGCCTTTTCTTGTTTTTTTGTTTTTTGAGTCCTTGGCTGGTACAAATGAGTAACATGCTCAGCTGCTAACCAAAAGGTTGGAAAGGTCTACAAAGAGGCCCTTGGAAGAAAGGCCTGACCATCTACTTCCAAAGAAAGTCTGTGGAGCACAGTTACACTCTGACACTCATGGGTTCACCGTGAGTCAGAATCAACTCAATGGCAACTGCTTTTCTTAATGCTTTTTAAACTTAATATAGTTAAAGCATTTTCCCTCCTTCTCAAATATTTTCAAGAACTTGATTTTAAAGACTGTGTAATATTCCATTGTATGGATGCATTGTTATTTTCTAAAACCAGTTCACTAATGTTGGACATTTGAGTTACTTCCAGTAGTTTATTATTATAAACAAGACAGAAAAGAGCATCGATGTAAGTATATCTTTATGCATGTATCTATTTCCTTAGGTTAGGATATAATCTTAAAAAATAGACTTTCACAGTCAAACAAAGGTATGAATATATCAACAGACTTGTAAAATTTATTTTATTTATTACAGAAATAATATGCTTTAATTGCAGAAAACTTGGAAAACCAAAAATTATATGAAAAGATAAAATTCATCCACAAATCTATCACCCAAACGTAGCCATTGTTACATTTATGCAGGTGCTCCTCCCATGTTTTTCCAGACACAGATAAGCATGGCATTATTATGCTGTACATATTATTGTGTAACATTCTTTTCTGATATATTGTTAACACCTTTACAATGTCATTTGATGTTCTTCCAAAAATGAGGTAATGGATATATCCATTATATGACTATAATGTAATTTATTCAACTTTTCCTTTAAACTTGGGCACTGCTTTTTCACCTGTAAACACCTTTAAGAATGAAATGAACAACCTTAGAAATACCTATTTATAAACATCTAATATGTCTGTAGGACAATTCCTTGGAAATTGGCCAAAACTACATATATATTCATATATTCATACATATAGAGTGTATCAATATATAACATATATTCATATGCTCATATAAATTGGGTGTCCCAATTTACATTTCCACCAAAATCAATCAAAGTGCCTGTTTCTCTGAGCCTTACTAGCAATTAAATGCTTTTTCTTAAGTGTTTGACAATCTGGTAGAGGAAAAGGCATAACGTGTTAAGAATATTCACCTTAAGGACAGTCTACATAAAATTCATCCATGTAAAGCAAAAATGAATCAGAACTCTGAAATTATTATTTTAAAACTTCTTGTTAAGTTGTGAAGCCAATACAAATTCCATCTGAAAAAAATCAAAATACTTTATAAAAATTTTACACCCTATCCCATTAAACCCATTTCTGTCTAGTTAATTCCAACTCCTAGCGACCCTATAGGACAGAGTAGAACTGCCCCATAGGGTTTCCAAGGCTGTAATCTTTATGGGAGCAGACTGCCACACCTTTCTCTCAAGGAGTGTCTGGTGGGTTCAAACCCCTGACCTTTTCGTTAGCAGCAAAGCACTTAACCCCTGCGCCACCAGGGCTCCTTGTACGCTCTATCAGAAGGCCAAAAACATAGAACAAGATTTCATTAATAAATATGTTATGTACTTTGTAATTTTACAAACGTTTTATATACTAAAATATATATTGTTCAATCTGACTCTTTGGTTTATTTTAGTGTACCGGTTAATTTTTCCCATAAAATGTATACCTGCGAACTGACATTCTGAAACTCAGCTGCCTCAACTGTGGGTCAGAAAATACCAAGTAACAGAAACGTTGGCAAGGAAGGCAGCGCTCGGTTCAGGTCTCGCTGAGGATCGGTATTCCCGAGGGCCTTTGTCGTCAGCGGTAGCGGTTGCGCCTGTCATGTTACGTAAGATACGGCCAGCTTTTTACTGCACCCAGGGTTTTGGAACAATTCCGGCTCATACTCATTAAGCTCATTTAGGCTAAGTGGAGTACGTTTCGCTTTTTCTTGTTATGAAATACTCCAAGCACATGAGAAAAATGCATTTCGTTGATTTTCAAGCCTGGGAGTGACATTTTGACAGGTAGGCCTCCAGGAGTTTCTCATCCGCAGTGTCCATAATAAGGGTGGCAAGAGTGAGTTCACTGGGTGCAGGCCCATTCTTCCGACTATATCGTCACAATATATGGCATTCATACAAGTAGAAGTTCTAGTACTTTCAAATATCATCATAGTAATATAGTTTAACTATGCAGCCAAAATGATATTTTCTGCTTTAATGTAAAATTTAACTCCCGAATTGAGTACTGGCAGTGTGGGACATTAAAGCTGCAACCACAGCGTAAACTGAACATGGCTGGACTCAGTAGTAACCAAAATAACTTGATTTTCTGCAGATACAGCCAGAACTTGAACTTAAAAGGGAGGTAACTACCTATCTTTCTTTCCCTCAAGATTGAGAGGCATAGGGAGAGGTGGAGAAGAACTTAGAGCCAGCTCAGAGAACAATACCCACTTTGTCTCGCTGGTAACAAAACTGTAGTGAGGTTTGGGAGGAGGAAGCTTGAGAAACTTGAGAGTTACTCTTCCTTTTTTGATCCTCCTCTTGGTACTTCCTGATCCATTACTTAGGGTTGAAGGAAAATTACTTAAAAAGATTAGAACCTTTGGAATGTTCCCCTGCCCACAGCGCCATACTCCTCCACACTCTTTCTCATCGTAGTTTACGTAGGATTCCCAGTTGTTCTCCTTCCAGCCAGATTTCCCTTCTACTCAAATCTCCAAAGCATATCAGCTTGTTTTCTTCCCAAGATTCAGCATTTCTTTCTCAGCATCTGAAGTGTTCTTTCGTACACAGCTTTTCCGAAAGTATGTTCCACAGAGCTCTAATGCTTGAGGTCTTAATAGATACCAAAACAAAAACCCGTTGTCATTGAATTGATTCTAACTCACAGTGACCCTATAGGACAGAGTAGAATGGCCCCATGGAGTTTCAAGGCTGTAATCTTTACAGAAGCAGACTGTCACATCTTTCTCCCGCAGAGCGGCTGGTGGGTTTGAACCACAGACCTTTTGTTTAGCAGTCAAGCTTTATAACCACTGTGGGAAAAAAAGGAGAGGGGATTCTGTGGCCAGTTAGTGTGTAGAATAATACTAAATAAAATTACTTTTTTTTTTTTTAATGGTGGGACTTTTCAGAAACTTTCGTTTCATAGTGTCCCTTATGAATTTCTAAGAGACTGTTATAGTATGCAGTGCTTCCCAACCTTAGGTGACTTCAGCATCTCTGTTGGGTCTCTGATAGCAGGCTTATGTTTCTCCTTTACTGCCCAGCACAGAGTGAACACTCAAATGTACCGAGTAACAAATGGAAACATCTTCCTATAGGCTGTCCCATAACTCCCGCCATGTCATTTCTACAGCCCTTTCCCATATGAGTCCAACATCTACCAGTGACATCTCTACCTTCCGACTCAATCAAGGTAGAAAATTCCTCTCTGTTCCTTTTCTCCCTACCCTTGTGAATGGGAAGAGGGGGTATGTAAAATCTTTTTTTGACTTAGGAATGTAGTCTTCATACTTGAAAAACTGAGAACCATTGAAATTGACAGGAAGTACAACAAGAATTTATAAAAGAGGAAAAGATCATTTCTATTTTGGGT